AGCCTCCCTCCCTCACAGCCTACCCTCACTCACAGCCTACCCTCCCTCACACCCTACCCTCCCTCACACCCTACCCTCCCTCACAGCCTTCCCTCCCTCACAGCCTACCCTCCCTCACAGCCTACCCTCCTCACACCCCTACCCCTCCCTCACAGCCTACCCTCCCTCACACCCTACCCTCCCTCACACGCTACCCTCCCTCACACCCTACCCTCCCCACACAGCCTACCCTCCCTCACACCCTACCCTCCCTCACAGCCTACCCTCCCTCACACCCTACCCTCCCTCACACCCTACCCTCCCTCACAGCCTACCCCCCTCACACCCTGCCCTCCCTCACAGCCTACCCTCCCTCACCCACCCTACCCTACCCTCACACCCCTACCCTCCCTCACAGCCACCCTCCCCACACCTACCCTACCCTCCCCTCACACCTTACCCTCCCTCACAGCCCTTCCCTCCCTCACAGCCTACCCTCCCTCACACCTTCCCTCCCCACAGCCTTCCCCCTCACAGCCTACCCTCCCTCACAGCCTACCCTCCCTCACAGCCTTCCCTCCCTCACAAGCCTACCCTCCCTCACAGCCTACACCTCCCTCACACCCTACCCTCCCTCACAGCCTACCCTCCCTCACAGCCTACCCTCCCTCCACAGCCTACCCTCCCACACAACCCTAACCCTCCCTCACAGCCTTCCCTCCCTCACAGCCTTCCCTCCCTCACAGCCTACCCTCCCACACAGCCCTACCCTCCCTCACACCGTACCCTCCCTCGCACCCTACCCTCCCTCACAGCCTACCCTCCCTCACAGCCTACCCTCCCTCACAGCCTACCCTCCCTCACACCCTACCCTCCCTCACAGCCTACCCTCCCTCACAGCCTACCCTCCCTCACAGCCTTCCCTCCTCAACAGCCTACCCTCCCTCACAGCCCTACCCTCCCTCACAGCCTACCCTCCCTACAGCCTACCCTCCCTCACACCCTACCCTCCCTCACAGCCTTCCCTCCCTCACAGCCTACCCTCCCTCACACCCTACCCTCCCTCACAGCCTACCCTCCCTCACAGCCTACCCTCCCTTACAGCCTACCTTCCCTCACTCGTCTCATCCCTCTAAAGTGCTCTCACACTGACAATATTTCTGGCTTTTTATCTGCCTCTTTTTCCAGCCTCACCACCAGAATATTCAATGATCTTTTCATATTACTCTTTAGGTAATACCTGGAGGAGGATGAGGATGAAAGAGGAGGAGGAGGAAGATGAGGATGAAAGAGGAGGAGGAGGAAGATGAGGATGAAAGAGGAGGAGGAGGAAGATGAGGATGAAAGAGGAGGAGGAGGAAGATGAGGATGAAAGAGGAGGAGGAGGAAGAAGAAGATGGGGATGAAATAGGAGGATGGAAAAATAAAAGATATCGAAAGGGAGCTAAAAAAACAAAGATAGGTTGAGATAGAGAAAAGAGACGGTGGCAGAAAATAAAGAGAGAGAGAGTTTATGAGTTTACAAAGTTGATGTGACCGAGTGTAACTTTCCACAAAGTTCTTTATGTCCTTAAATTGTTACTGAAGATTGTTCCTTTACCTTCCCTGGAACACTAGTTTTGACGGTGTTACTGAAGATTGTTCCTTTACCTTCCCTGGAACACTGTTTTGACGGTGTTACTGAAGATTGTTCCTTTACCTTCCCTGGAACACTGTTTTGACGGTGTTACTGAAGATTGTTCCTTTACCTTCCCTGGAACACTGTTTTGACGGTGTTACTGAAGATTGTTCCTTTACCTTCCCTGGAACACTGTTTTGACATGTTACTGAAGATTGTTCCTTTACCTTCCCTGGAACACTGTTTTGACGATGTTACTGAAGATTGTTCCTTTACCTTCCCTGGAACACTGTTTTGACAATGTTACTGAAGATTGTTCCTTTACCTTCCCTGGAACACTGTTTTGACGGTGTTACTGAAGATTGTTCCTTTACCTTCCCTGGAACACTGTTTTGACATGTTACTGAAGATTGTTCCTTTACCTTCCCTGGAACACTGTTTTGACGGTGTTACTGAAGATTGTTCCTTTACCTTCCCTGGAACACTGTTTTGACGGTGTTACTGAAGATTGTTCCTTTACCTTCCCTGGAACACTGTATTTCGTCTTGTACATTATTGTTATCGTTACTGTGACTTATTTACGTCTTGCCTTCTGTGATCTTCCCTCCTGGTTTCCTCTTTTCAGTTTTCCTCTATCTGCGGTATGTAATCTTCTTGGTATCTTGTATGTCGTGATCATGTCCTCCACGTTTTCCCTGCATCCAGTATTGTAAGAATCAGCTCATTTAATGTCAGCTTCCTGACTCCACGAGTTTCTTACAGATTCTCTGTACTATATTTCTGGTTCAAGTCGGACAGAACCTCGTCATAAGATTCTGTGAGGGTTATTTGTGCTCTGTTCCAGTCACTGTATTGTGCCTTTGTGCTATTTATTTCTGGGGTTGTGACAGTTTTAGGGTAACTAAAACTATAGCTAACTAGTTTTGTTGGTTTAACTACAACTATCGCAGAGCACACATAAGATAAGATTTCCTTCGGATTTTTAACCCCGGAGGGTTAGCCACCCAGGATAACCCAAGAAAGTCAGTGCGTCATCGAGGACTGTCTAACTTATTTCCATTGGGGTCCTTAATCTTGTTCTCAGGATTCGACCCACACCAGTCGACTAACACCCAGGTACCTATTTGCTGCTAGGTGAACAGGACAACAGGTGTAAGGAAATGTGTCGAAATGTTTTCACCCGCCGGGAATCGAACCCGGGCCCTCCGTGTGTGAAGCGGGAGCTTCAGCCACCAGGCCACCGGGCCACCATATATAATGGGTCCATGGACTGTATCTCAACATTACAGAGGTACATAATGGGTAGTGTGGTGTGTTAGGATGGTAGTGTGGTGTGTTAGGATGGTAGTGTGGTGTGTTAGGATGGTAGTGTGGTGTGTTAGGATGGTAGATAGTGTGATGTGTTAGGATGGTAGTGTGGTGTGTTAGGATGGTAGTGTGTGTGTTAGGATGGTAGATAGTGTGGTGTGTTAGGATGGTAGTGTGGCGTGCTAGGATGGTAGTGTGGCGTGTTAGGATGGTAGTGTGGTGTGTTAGGATGGTAGTGTGGTGTGTTTAGGATGGTAGTATGGTGTGTTAGGATGGTAGTGTGGTGTGTTAGGATGGTAGATAGTGTGGTGTGTTAGGATGGCAGTGTGGCGTGTTAGGATGGTAGTGTGGCGTGTTAGGATGGTCAGTGTGGCGTGTTAGGATGGTAGTGTGGTGTGTTAGGATGGTAGTGTGGGTGTTTAGGATGGTAGTGTGGGTGTGTTAGGATGGTAGTGTGGTGTGTTAGGATGGTAGTGTGTGTGTGTTAGGATGGTAGTGATGGCTGTGTTAGGATGGTAGATGTGGGTGTGTTAGGATGTAGTGTGGCGTGTTAGGATGGTAGTGTGGCGTGTTAGGATGGTAGTGTGGCGTGTTAGGATGGTAGTGTGGCGTGTTAGGATGGTAGTGTGGGTGTTAGGATGGTAGTGTGGCGTGTTAGGATGGTAGTGTGGTGTGTTAGGATGGTAGTGTGGGTGTTAGGATGGTAGTGTGGTGTGTTAGGATGGTAGTGTGGTGTGTTAGGATGGTAGTGTGGTGTGTTAGGATGGTAGTGTGGCGTGTTAGGATGGTAGTGTGGCGTGCTAGGATGGTAGTGTGGTGTGTTAGGATGGTAGTGTGGCGTGTTAGGATGGTAGTGTGGCGTGTTAGGATGGTAGTGTGGTGTGTTAGGATGGTAGTGTGGCGTGTTAGGATGGTAGTGTGGTGTGTTAGGATGGTAGTGTGGCGTGCTAGGATGGTAGTGTGGTGTTTAGGATGGTAGTGTGGCGTGTAGGATGGTAGTGTGGGTGTTAGGATGGTAGTGTGGCGTGTTAGGATGGTAGTGTGGGTGTTAGGTGGTAGTGTGGTGTGTTAGGATGGTAGTGTGGTGTGTTAGGATGGTAGTGTGGCGTGTTAGGATGGTAGTGTGTGCGTGTAGGATGGTAGTGTGGGTGTTAGGATGGTAGTGTGGCGTGTAGGATGGTAGTGTGGCGTGTTAAGGATGTGTGTGTAGGATAGTGTGGTTAGGTTGGTAGTGTGGTGTGTTAGGATGGTAGTGTGGTGTGTTAGGATGGTAGTGTGGCGTGTTAGGATGGTAGTGTGGCGTGCTAGGATGGTAGTGTGGTGATGTTAGGATAGTGTGTGGCGTGCTAGGATGGTAGTGTGGTGTGTTAGGATGGTAGTGTGGCGTGTTAGGATGGTAGTGTGGCGTGTTAGGATGGTAGTGTGGTGTGTTAGGTTGGTAGTGTGGTGTGTTAGGATGGTAGTGTGGTGTGTTAGGATGGTAGTGTGGCGTGTTAGGATGGTAGTGTGGCGTGCTAGGATGGTAGTGTGGTGTGTTAGGATGGTAGTGTGGCGTGTTAGGATGGTAGTGTGGCGTGTTAGGATGGTAGTGTGGTTCAAGACAAGGAGGAATGGTCCACCTTGATGGATCAAGAGCCCCTCATCGGCATCGTGGAAGTATTGAGCTGATATGCTCACACCCTGTGTCCCTTGGTGCCATGCTTATAACCGGTTGTGTTACCAAGCTAGTGTTACTTGTGTTACTAAATGTTGTTACCAAGCTAGTGTTACTTGTGTTACTAAATGTTACCAAGCTAGTGTTACTTGTGTTACTAAATGTTGTTACCAAGCTAGTGTTACTTGTGTTACTAAATGTTGTTACCAAGCTAGTGTTACTTGTGTTACTAAGCTAGTATTACTTGTGCTACTAAAATAGTGTTACTTGTTACTAAGATATTGTTATTGTTACTGTTATTAGTGTTACTAAGGTAGTGTTACTTGTGTTACTAAGGTATGTTACTAATATAGTGTTACTAAGGTAGTGTTACTTGTGTTACTAAGATAGTGTTACTGTTACTAATATAGTGTTGGTAAGGTAGTGTTGTGTGTGTTACAGGTGATGGTGGGGTGGCGGCGCAGTGCTCTGGTGCGAGGTAGCTTCCTCTTAAACGTGGTGTTCGCGCTATATGTAGCGCTACATGTAGCGTCACCACCGCGCCTCCTGGCTCCCCGTGGCTCTCTCTCACTCCTCCATGACAACCTTACAGCCTCACCAGACCCAGCTGACTACCCCACCGAGGCTGACTCTACTCTCGATGACCCTTCAGAGCCTCCAGCGCCGCCCACGCCCGCGCCCACCCTCCAGGAGAAGGTATACCCTGACCTACACGCCTGTCATACGCCCACACTGACAGAGCGCCCCGCACTGCACGGCACACACTGGGTCTTGTATAACTATATTCCCGCTGACACGCAGCCAGCTTGTAATGAATCAGTGACGTATACTACCCACGCTGACTTTACCTTCCTGGATAACGTTGTTCCACTGGTGGAACGATGGCGTGGCCCGGTCAGTGCCGCAGTCTTCTCCCCCGGGGGAGACTTCAACACCACGCTGCGCACAGTGGCCTTCCTGCGCACCTGCCGAGCACTGGTAGCCAAACACGTCACCTTCCATCTGTTTTTTCCTGCTGAACATATGCCCACCCACGTGCCGCCCAGCGGGCAGTTGCTATCTCAACGACCCTCGTGTTCCACACCGCCCCCATACCTCGCCGCCCATACTTACAAGCGCGCCCACAACCTCACCTACCCAGTCAACATAGCGCGTAATATAGCACGCCGCGCTGCGGCTACGTATTTCGTGTTGGCTAGCGACGTGGAGCTTTACCCGTCCCTGGACTTCATTAATTTCTTCATGGAGATGATGCGACGTCAGGATGCGTCGCGGACGCCCACACCTACACGTCGGGTTTACGTCTTGCCAATCTTCGAGGTGAAGAGTGGTCTGCGCCCACCTTCCAGCAAGCCTGCGCTTGTGCGCATGCTCAAGAGAGGCTCCGCAATACCTTTCCACAAGTTCGTGTGCCCTCAGTGCCATAAAGTACCGGGCATGCGAGAATGGGCAGACTCCAACGCTACGGACACGATCAACGTGGTAATGGTGGCCAAGCGCCACCCTCCCTTCCACCACTGGGAACCTATCTACGTAGGTACCCACCTAGAACCTATGTACGATGAACGTCTCTCGTGGGAAGGTCGCTCCGACAAGATGACGCAAGTATGTATACCACTTAACTCTCACTGTCACTTATCAAGACTTAGATTTTCACCAACATAAACTGTATATGTAACAGGTAGGTACTAACACCTAGCATTATATATATAGTAGATAGGCACTAACACCTAGTGTATGTAGTAGGTAGGTACTAACCTAGTGAAAGTTCACTCAACAATACATAGGATAAAAATATATTATTTGCGAGACTTGTTTATAAAGAGTAACGTGGGATGTACCAGACTGTCATACTTTATGTTCTTGTTGGTTAAGTCTCAAGGTTGACCACTCTTACAGTACTTATTATTTTATTACCATTATATTATTATTATCAATTTTATTATACTAATAGAGAATTTTTTAATTCTGATTTAAAATTGTATATAATTAAGCTAAGTCAGACATTTGGTGCCTGGCTGAGAGCTGAGCAAGAATACAGTGTTGACATTAACTGTAATAAGCCAAGAAAACTTAGCAGAGTGGATTTTTTCCACTGTCCCGTAGCTCGGTTGGTAGCGCACTCAGCTCACACACTGAGGTCCGTGGTTCGATCCCCCGTACGGGTGGAAACATTTGGGCGTGTTTCCAGAACACCTGCTGTCACTGTCCACCTAGCAGTAAAATAGGTACCTGGTGGGTGTTAGTCTACTGGTGTAGGTCGCATCCTGGGTATAAAATTAACCTAATTTGCCCGAAATGCTCTGCATAACAAGGAGTTTTCTATATAGTATGACCAGGAGGCCTGGTCACAGACCGGGCCGCGGGGGCGTTGACCCCCGGAACTCTCTCCAGGTAAACTCTCTCCAGGTATGGTCTGTATACCTTGTATCATATACTTATAGATATAGATTATTATTATTATTATTATTATTATTATTATTATTATTATTGCTTAGGTGCTTCCCCAGGATGCCACCTACAACAGTTACCTAACTACTAGGTGAACATGGGCAGCTGGTGTAGGAAAACTTAGCCTCACCCGGGATTATACCACTGAACTGCAAGGTACCACAATGTACCACTGAACTGCGAGGTACCAGTGTACCACTGAACTGCAAGGTACCACAATGCACCACTGAACTGCGAGGTACCAGTGTACCACTGAACTGCGAGGTACCACAATGTACCACTGAAGTGTGAGGTACCAGTGTACCATTGAACTGCGAGGTACCACAATGTACCACTGAAGTGTGAGGTACCAGTGTACCACTGAACTGCGAGGTACCACAATGTACCACTGAAGTGTGAGGTGCCAGTGTACCACTGAACTGCAAGGTACCACAATGTACCACAACTGCGAGGTACCAGTGTACCACTGAACTGCAAGGTACCACAATGTACCACTGAACTGTGAGGTACCACAGTGTACCACTGAACTGCGAGGTACCACAGCTGTATCACGAGGGAGCAGCAGATAATTAGTATGTTAAATGAGAGGTAATCATGTCTTATCCGAGGGAAGGGAGGTTAGATCCAACTCTCTTCATAAAAAAAAACCTTAAGGCGCCTCCATGATGATAGGAGGTTATAATGAAGTGATTTTGTATATCACATATTATGTATAACATACATTATTATGTATAACATACATCATTATGTATAACATACATTATTATGTATAACATACATTATTATGTATAACATACATTATTATGTATAACATACATTATTATGTATAACATACATAATACTGTATAACATACATCATTATGTATAACATACATTATTATGTATAACATACATCATTATGTATAACATACATAATAATGTATAACATACATCATTATGTATAACATACATAATAATGTATAACATGCATTATAGTTCTCAGCTATCATGATTAATGAATTAAGTCAATAGTTTATGGAGTACCTTCCACTGCTAACACTTGCTGGGGTCAACCTTGAGTACCTTCCACTGCTAACACTTGCTGGGGTCAACCTTGAGTACCTTCCACTGCTAACACTTGCTGGGGTCAACCTTGAGTACCTTCCACTGCTAACACTTGCTGGGGTCAACCTTGAGTACCTTCCACTGCTAACACTTGCTGGGGTCAACCTTGGTACTCACTGCTAACACTTGCTGGTCACCTTGATACCTTCCACGCTAACACTTGCTGGGGTCAACCTTGAGTACCTTCCACTGCTAACACTTGCTGGGGTCAACCTTGAGTACCTTCCACTGCTAACACTTGCTAGGGTCAACCTTGAGCACCTTCCACTGCTAACACTTGCTGGGGTCAACCTTGAGTACCTTCCACTGCTAACACTTGCTGGGTCAACCTTGAGTACCTTCCACTGCTAACACTTGCTGGGGTCAACCTTGAGCACCTTCCACTGCTAACACTTGCTGGGGTCAACCTTGAGTACCTTCCACTGCTAACACTTGCTGGGGTCAACCTTGAGTACCTTCCACTGCTAACACTTGCTGGGGTCAACCTTGAGCACCTTCCACTGCTAACACTTGCTGGGGTCAACCTTGAGTACCTTCCACTGCTAACACTTGCTGGGGTCAACCTTGAGTACCTTCCACTAACACTTGCTGGGGTCAACCTTGAGTACCTTCCACTGCTAACACTTGCTGGGGTCAACCTTGAGTACCTTCCACTGCTAACACTTGCTAGGGTCAACCTTGAGCACCTTCCACTGCTAACACTTGCTGGGGTCAACCTTGAGTACCTTCCACTGCTAACACTTGCTAGGGTCAACCTTGAGTACCTTCCACTGCTAACACTTGCTGGGGTCAACCTTGAGCACCTTCCACTGCTAACACTTGCTGGGGTCAACCTTGAGTACCTTCCACTGCTAACACTTGCTGGGGTCAACCTTGAGCACCTTCCACTGCTAACACTTGCTGGGGTCAACCTTGAGCACCTTCCACTGCTAACACTTGCTGGGGTCAACCTTGAGTACCTTCCACTGCTAACACTTGCTGGGGTCAACCTTGAGTACCTTCCACTGCTAACACTTGCTGGGGTCAACCTTGAGTACCTTCCACTGCTCACACGCTCTCTTAACCCATGCAGATTTTGCGCTTTTCAAGATATACGAGACATTACATGGCATTCCTTGGGTGTTGTATGACCCCTATGGGTTTAGCTCATCATCATAGTGTATATCATACACACACTGATAATAATAATAATAGTGATGCATGTAAGTTATATATGCACACTAAGAGTTTGATGTGCAACATTTGGGTATCTTTATTTAGGAAACTTTTCGCCAGCCAGTGGCTTCAGTCCATTGCAGAGGAACGCTGGAAAATGAGTTTGAGGTAATCAGTCCCTCCCTTCAGGCTGTACTGGAATGAAGAGGACACTGGCTGGAGAAACTTTTCCTAAACAGAGAAACCCAAATGTTGCGCCAGTGTCTCGTATATCAACTTGTGTGTTCTCTAAAAGCATTTATACACATATTGATGTTTGGTGTGTGGGTGTGCAGATGTACGTGATGTGCGTGCTGGACTACGAGTTCCACGTACTGGACAACGCCTTCCTGGTACATCGTCCTGGTATCAAGCGGCACCGGCGGGATCGGCATCGCGACCTGCTCACAGCCCATCAGAACTCTCTCCTTCACAACAAGATCACTCCTGAACTTCATACCATCTACGGCAAGAGAGGAATGTGCTTCTTGTAGCGTTTACAGGTTGGTCCTTACATGACACGCTTGCTAATACCATCACATACTTGATAATAAGATCTTAATAGTAATCTGTATTAGTGAGAGTCTTGTGGTCTCATGACTTAGCTAGTAGCGTCTCAGTTCACGACCGGGGTTCGATCTCTGGTACAAATGGAAACTTTGGGCACGTTTCCTTATACCTGATGCCCCTGTTCACTTAGCAGTAAGTAGGTACCTGGGTGTTAATAGTCTTACATCTGCCCCTGTTCACCTACAATGAGTGTGTACCGGGGTGTAAGTCACCTTACAACTGCTGCCCCTGTTCACCTAGCAGTAAGTAGGTACCTGGGTGTTAGTCGACTGGGGGAAGGGAATTAAACAACCCCAGTGGAAACAAGACAGTCTGATGACATGGCTTTGGTAATCCTGGGTTACTAAGCATCTGGGTTACTAAGCATCTGGGTTATAAGCATCTGGGTTATTAAGCATCTGGGTTACTCAAACAAAATCTTATTCCTTGTGTTTAGTTTTCTTTCTGATCAATAGACGTAACCGGATAAAGCTACATTTATCTCTGCACTGTAACTCCAGCCAGTTACCGTATATATTGTCCCTACCAAGTTACTCTTAATGACTTTAAACACTAATGCAGATGAACCTTTGTCGATTCAATGACAAATTTAGTCACACTCAAGTTGAACTTAATGGGTACTATCCTGGTCATAACATGCAACACCCATTAAACACTGAAGCCCTTCAGAAGTAGATAAATATATTTAACGTGTTTTAACGGGCATAAAATGATTCACATTATTTTACACAACATTGGAAGTTATGCATCCATACATTTGTATTTAACTCTCTACCGTCATCGAAGTGGGAAGTACTTTTTTTAATATTTCAAACATCACAGGGTTTTGGTAGTTTCTTTCAACACACCGGCGTATCCCACCGAGGCGGGGTGGCCCAAAAGGAAAAACGAAAGTTTCTCCTTTTACATTTAGTAATATATACAGGAGAAGGGGTTACTAGCCCCTTGCTCCCGGCATTTTAGTCGCCTCTTACGACACGCATGGCTTACGGAGGAAGAATTCTGTTCCACTTCCCCATGGAGAGGTTTTGGTAGCTATCTCAGCCATTTCAAAAAGCTGGGAATTGGTCCTACAACTTCGGTCATATCGCAGCTGCACAAGCCATTTGTTCCAAGAATCTTGATCTAGTTACTGTACACGTGTGTTGAAAAATTGAAATCTGGGGTTGAGGCTTCCTGTTGCTAGCGATAAAAATCAAACGATCGACCTAGAGATTTCCAGCGGTAATACCCTTAATAATAATCATAAGAAGAGTGAGTACATAAGAACATAAGAAAGGAGGAACACTGCAGCAGGCCTGTTGGCCCATACTTGGCAGGTCCTTTACAATCTATCCCACTAACAAAACATTTGCCCAACCTAATTTTCATACGTAAAGGTGATTGTGGTGAACAGAATGTGTTAACAGTACAAGTATGGCCAGCCACACTAGACTTCCTCACCTGCTCGACCACACCTCAAATTTGTATTGAGTAGTGATGGTGGTGGTGGTGGTGGTGGTGGTGGTGGGGGTGATGGTGGTGGTGGTGGTGATGGTGGTGGTGGTGGTGGGAAAAAAATCAATGTTGGGGTAGTGGTAAAGGCTAAATCAATGTTGAGTGTGTGTGTGTGTAACCATGTAAGGTGGAATGAGAAAAAGACATTACATACAGAAGTGATGAGAAACAGGGAAAGAAGCAAGAAAAACGACAATATGAAGATTGAGAGAGAGAGAGAGAGAGCAGGAAGTAAACAGGTTAATGGAGGAAAAAACAATCTCTACATTATTATCTTTCTGGTTATCAATATTTCTACATGTTTATGTCACTAACAAATTAATTCATAATATCCTTTTAAATTTTTAACTGTAACAATTATATTAAGTGTATCAACAGTGAGTGTCCTGGTGGCTAAAGCTCCCGCTTCACACACGGAGGGCCCGGGTTCGATTCCCGGCGGGTGGAAACATTTCGACACGTTTCCTTACACCTGTTGTCCTGTTCACCTAGCAGCAAATAGGTACCTGGGTGTTAGTCGACTGGTGTGGGTCGCATCCTGGGGGACAAGATTAAGGACCCCAATGGAAATAAGTTAGACAGTCCTCGATGACGCACTGACTTTCTTGGGTTATCCTGGGTGGCTAACCCTCCGGGGTTAAAAATCCGAACGAAATCTTATCTTATCTTATCGCCGGCATGGGTGGAAACATTGAGCGCGTTACCTTACACTTGGTGTTACTGTTCACCTAGCAGTAAGTAGGTACCTGGGTGTTAATAGATTGGTGTGGGTGGCATCCTGGGGGACAAGATTGAGGACCACGGTGAAAATAAGACAGTCTCGATGACACATTGACTTTCTTGGGTTATCCTGGGTTAAAAATCCGAACTAAATCTTATCTTAAACGTTCAGCTAAGTGAGGTAAAATACGGCAGTGTTGTGAAGGCAGAACTCTTGGTACCAGTGCTGACTCTCCTCTCTTGGTACCAGTGCTGACTCTCCTCTCTTGGTACCAGTGCTGACTCTCCTCTCTCTTGGTACCAGTGCTGACTCTCCTCTCTTGGTACCAGTGCTGACTCTCCTCTCTTGGTACCAGTGCTGACTCTCCTCTCTTGGTACCAGTGCTGACTCTCCTCTCTTGGTACCAGTGCTGACTCTCCTCTCTTGGTACCAGTGCTGACTCTCCTCTCTTGGTACCAGTGCTGACTCTCCTCTCTTGGTACAGTGCTGACTCCTCTCTTGGTACCAGTGCTGACTCTCCTCTCTTGTACCAGTGCTGACTCTCTCTCTTGGTACCAGTGCTGACTCTCCTTCTTGGTACCAGTGCTGACTCTCCTCTCTTGGTACCAGTGCTGACTCTCCTCTCTTGGTACCAGTGCTGACTCTCCTCTCTTGGTACCAGTGCTGACTCTCCTCTCTTGGTACCAGTGCTGACTCTCCTCTCAGTCACATTATGTCTGTATAGTTTACACTGGTATACAGTATGTGTCTGTAGCTATGTACGTAACAGGAACGCATGTCCGATGATTTACAGTAAGTAGCAGGAGCACATAGGGGTGGTATACAGGGTACGTTTATACGTTACAGATACACATAGTGAATGTTCAGTGTCTGTATGTAATCATGGGGTGGAGGAGGCAGTCATGGGGTGGAGGAGGCAGTCATGGGATGTAGGAAGCAGTCATGAGGTGGATAAGGCAGTCATGGGGTGGATCAGGCAGTCATGGGGTTGAGGAAGCAGTCATGGGGTGGATCTGGCAGTCATGGGGTGTAGGAGGGAGTCATGGGGTGGGGAAGGCAGTTATGGGGTGGGGGAGGCAGTCATGGGGTGTAGGAGGCAGTCATGGGGTGGGGAGGCAGTCATGGGGTGTAGGAGGCAGTCATGGGGTGTAGGAGGCAGTCATGGGGTGGGGGAGGCAGTCATGGGGTGGATGAGACAGTCATGGGGTGGGGCAGACAGTCATGGGGTGTAGGAGGCAGTCATGGGGTGTAGGAGGCAGTCATGGGGTGGGGGAGGCAGTCATGGGGTGTAGGAGGCAGTCATGGGGTGGGGAGGCAGTCATCGGGTTGAGGAAGCAGTCATGGGGTGGATCTGGCGTCATGGGGTTGAGGAAGCAGTCATGGGGTGGATCTGGCAGTCATGGGGTGTAGGAGGGAGTCATGGGGTGGGGAAGGCAGTTATGGGGTGGGGAAGGCAGTTATGGGGTGGGGGAGGCAGTCATGGGGTGTAGGAGGCAGTCATGGGGTGTAGGAGGCAGTCATGGGGTGGGGGAGGCAGTCATGGGGTGTAGGAGGCAGTCATGGGGTGGGGGAGGCAGTCATGGGGTGTAGGAGGCAGTCATGGAGTGTAGGAGGCAGTCATGGGGTGGGGAGGCAGTCATGGGGTGGATGAGACAGTCATGGGGTGGGGCAGGCAGTCATGGGGTGTAGGAGGCAGTCATGGGGTGGGGGAGGCAGTCATGGGGTTGTAGGAGGCAGTCAGTGGGTGGGGGAGGCAGTCATGGGGTTGAGGAAGCAGTCATGGGGTGGATCTGGCAGTCATGGGGTGTAGGAGGGAGTCATGGGGTGGGGAAGGCAGTTATGGGGTGGGGAGGCAGTCATGGGGTGTAGGAGGCAGTCATGGGGTGTAGGAGGCAGTCATGGGGTGGGGGAGGCAGTCATGGGGTGTAGGAGGCAGTCATGGGGTGTAGGAGGCAGTCATGGGGTGTAGGAGGCAGTCATGGGGTGGGGGAGGCAGTCATGGGGTGGATGAGACAGTCATGGGGTGGGGCAGGCAGTCATGGGGTGTAGGAGGCAGTCATGGGGTGTAGGAGGGAGTCATGGGGTGGGGAAGGCAGTTATGGGGTGGGGGAGGCAGTCATGGGGTGGGGAGGCAGTCATGGGGTGGGGGAGGCAGTCATGGGTGGGGCAGGCAGTCATGGGGTGGGGCAGGCAGTCATGGGGTGGAGGAGGCAGTCATGGGGTGGGGAGGCAGTCATGGGGTGGGGGAGGCAGTCATGGGGTGGATGAGACAGTCATGTGGTGGGGGCAGGCAGTTATGGGTGGAGGAGGCAGTTATGGGGTGGGGGAGGCAGTCATGGGGTGGGGGAGGCAGTCATGGGGTGGGGAAGGCAGTTATGGGGTGGGGGAGGCAGTCATGGGGTGGGGGAGGCAGTCATGGGGTGGGGGAGGCAGTCATGGGGTGGGGCAGGCAGTCATGGGGTGGAGGAGGCAGTCATGGGGTGGGGGAGGCAGTCATAGGGTGGATGAGACAGTCATGGGGTGGGGCAGGCAGTCATGGGGTGTAGGAGGCAGTCATGGGGTGGGGGAGGCAGTCATGGGGTGGATGAGACAGTCATGGGGTGGGGCAGGCAGTTATGGGGTGGGGGAGGCAGTCATGGGGTGGATGAGACAGTCATGGGGTGGGGCAGGCAGTCATGGGGTGGGGCAGGCAGTCATGGGGTGGAGTATGCAGTC